CATGAGTTTTCAAAGATAACGGCCAATGGCTCTGCAATCACAACCCGCCAATTCCTTTAGCACTCTCAGATGCAACGCATCCGGCCCCATGGACTTGTGCTCGTCCAGCTTTTCTAAATAGTCCCGAACCACTTCTTTCTCCACGGAGGTCTGGTCACCTCCTCCCCATGCTGTGCTGCCCAGTGCAGTAGTTTGGGAGCTGACCTTGTTCGTGAAGACAGAGGCAAAAAAAGCATTGAGTACATTAGCTTTTTCCACATCCTCTGTCACTAGGTTGCCTCCCTCATTCAGTAAGGGGCCCACACTTTCCTTGACTTTCTTCTTGTTGCTAACGTACCTGAAGAAACCCTTCTTGTTACTCTTAACATCTTTTGCTAGCTGCAACTCCAGGTGTGATTTGGCCTTCCTGATTTCACTCCTGCATGCCTGAGCAATATTTTTATACTCATCCCTGGTCATTTGTCCAATCTTCCACTTCTTGTAAGCTTCTTTTTTGTATTTAAGATCAGCAAGGATTTCACTGTTAAGCCAAGCTGGTCGCCTGCCATATTTACTATTCTTTCTACACATCGGGATGGTATGTCCCTGTAACCTCAATAAGGATTCTTTAAAATACAGCCAGCTCTCCTGGACTCCTTTCTCCCTCATGTTATTCTCCCAGGGGATCTTGCCCATCAGTTCCCTGAGGGAGTCAAAGTCTGCTTTTCTGAAGTCCAGGGTCCATATTCTGCTGCTTTCCTTTCTTTCTTGTGTCAGGATCCTGAACTTGACCATCTCATGGTCACTGCCTCCCAGGTTCCCATCCACTTTTGCTTCCCCTACTAATTCTTCCCGGTTTGTGAGCAGCAGGTCAAGAAGAGCTCTGCCCCTCGTTGGTTCCTCCAGCACTTGCACCAGGAAATTGTCCCCTACATTTTCCAAAAACTTCCTGGATTGTCTGTTCATCGCTGTATTGCTCTCCCAGCAGATATCAGGATGACTGAAGTCTCCCATGAGAACCAGGGCGTGCGATCTAGTAACTTCTGCGAGTTGCCGGAAGAAAGCCTCATCCACCTCATTCCCCTGGTCCGCTGGTCTATAGTAGACTCCTACCACGACATCACCCTTGTTGCTCACACTTCTAAACTTAATCCAGAGACTCTCAGGTTTTTCTGCAGTTTCATACTTGAGCTCTGAGCAGTCATACTACTCTCTTACATACAATGCAACTTCCCCACCTTTTCTGCCCTTCCTGTCCTTCCTGAACACCTTATATCCATCCATGACAGTACTCCAGTCATGTGAGTTATCCCACCAAGTCTCTGTTATTCCAATCACATCATAATTCCTTGACTTTGCCAGGACTTCCAGTACTCCCTGCTTGTTTCCCAGGCTTTGTGCATTTGTGTATAGGCACTTGAGATAACCCGCTGACTGCCCCTCTTTCTCAGTATGAGGCAGAATCCCTCCCCTCTCACGTGCTCCTGCTCGTGCTTCCTCCTGGTATCCCACTTCCCCACTTACCTTAGGGCTTTGGTCTCCTTCCCCCGGTGAACCTAGTTTAAAGCCCTCCTCACTAGGTTAGCCAGCCTGCTTGCGAAGATGCTCTTCTCTCTCTTCGTTAGGTGGAGCCCGTCTCTGCCTAGCACTCCTCCTTCTTGGAACACCATCCCATGGTCAAAGAATCCAAAGCCTTCTCTCCGACACCACCTGCGTAGCCATTCGTTGACTTCCACGATTCGACGGTCTCTACCCAGGCCTTTTCCTTCCATGGGGAGGATGGACGAGAACACCACTTGCGCCTCAAACTTCTTTATCCATCTTCCCAGAGCCACGTAGTCTGCAGTGATCCGCTCAAGGTCATTCATAGTTTAACATAAGTAGTTAGCACATATTCTATGGGACCATTCAAGGTGAAGTGACTAAATAACATCCCTGTTGTCACATGACTACAAGAGGGGTTGTTTGTAATTAGTCATAAATCCAGTGTCTGTATTTAAGATCATGACTTTTAGTGTCTAGCAAAGTTATGAATTTAAGCTCCCAGGCTTGTCTTTTGAAAGTGTTGTGCAGGTTTTCTGTGAGGATCAAGACTGATAGGTCAGATATAGAGTGATCACTTTGTTGAATGTGTTCAGCCATAGGTGATGTGGTATCGTTGTCTATTATTTTCCTGTGTGAGTTCATTCAAGAGCGTAGTGATTGTCTGCTTTCACCCACATAGTTACTGGGTCATTTAGTGCACTGGATGAGGTACCCCCCAAGTTGTGATAGGCATGTGTAAGACCCACAGATCTTGAAAGCTGTGTTGTGGGGGGTGTTGATCATTGTAGCAATGGAGCTATGTCAGAAGGTTTTGCATCTGTTGTTCTGGCAGCGTCTGGTGCTGCTTTGAGTTAATGTGTCCTGATCTGTGGGGAGCTTGCTTCTGTTGAGCTAGGAGAGGTTGTGGGGAGGTTGTCTGTAGGCCAGAAAAGGGGGTTCCAGAAAGATTTCTTTCAGGGTGGAGTCCCCATCGAGTATGGCTTTTAGTTTGATGATAGTTCATATGGGATCCAGTGTGAGGTGATAGGTGACAACGAGGGTGTGTGGTCAGAGCGGGTTTTATTTCTGTATTTAAAAAGGTTCTCTTGGGGTATTTGGGTGGCCCATTCTATGATGCGATCTACTTCTCTGGGAGTGTCCTTGTTTGGTGAAGGCAGTTTTGAGTGTTTTAAGGTGTATATCTTGGACTTGTTCCTCAGACAATATTATATGGTATCTGAGTGGCTGGCTGTAGATAACAGATTTCTTGGTGTGTTGGTTGGTTACTGGATCTATGAAGATAGGTGTGGTGATCTGTGGGTTCCTTGTATATAGTGATCTGTAGGGTGAAGCTGATTATGGTGTAAAGGAAGTTGATGCTAGTGTGGGAATGTTCCAGAGAGAGTTTGATGGATGGGTGGTGGTGGTTGAAGTTGTGGTGGAAATCTATGAGGGAGTTTAAGCCATCTGTTCAGAGGATAAAAATATCATTGATGTATCTCAGGTATAGCATTGGTTCTGTGATGCATTTGTCCAGTGGTGCAGTCCTAGGACTACAAGGGTGAAAACGGGCCACTTCACCTTTAATGGTCCCTTAGAAAATGGGCTAACTACTTATGTTAAACTATCTGTTTGACCTTGTATTTAGCTGTGACACTCTGAGTACCTTTCCTAGACCTCAAGAAGAGCTCTGTGTAGCTCAAAAGCTTGTCTCTCTCACCAACAGAAGTTGGTCCAGAAAAAAAGATATTACTTCGTACTGCTTGTGTCTTTACTGCTTAACGGTAATACTATGCAGAGCAGTGCTAGTTAACAAATCCTCCTCAGTTCTCTGAATTGGCTCCATAGATCTCACCCTTCTGACAGGCTCCTCTGGATCCAATCTTGTTGGATCCATAGAGGAATGGCTCCTAGCTCTACACTGAAAGCTTAAATCAGAGCCTGGCTCCATAATGAGATTCTGTCCTGGTATGTCCTCCTCTCTCAGATTGGCAATTTGTAATAAAGCCGACACTGAGGAGGGCTGCAAATTTTTCCTCAGTACTGCAGCTGAGTCTCTCTGAAATGGGACAGCTCTGGAAACAGTTTGTCACTGATCCAGACCTTTTTTCAGATCCTGATGGCTCTCTTGGATATCGTGCCTGACATAGAAGCTGAATCTCACTTCTTCCCTGCAGAGCTGGCTGGAGGCAGAGGTGGGGCTGAAGCCGGTCTCTGAAAACAAGCTGCCACTGTCAGTGCTTCCTGCAATAAAATTGCCTGGAGCAGGTTTTGTCTCTCTTTGCCCTTGTGATAAATGATGAGAAGTTTGGACATTTAGAGGGAGAATGCCCTTCCCCCAAACATGCCAAACATCTGGGATATGTGCCCAATGCTAGGAATATACCTGGGCAGCACCAGATGCATCTTTTGAATCCAGGCTTTCTTAGCCTTCTGATCTGTCATGTTATCCTTTATGTAACCCTGTGAACGTATATACCAACTAACCTATACAAACTGCCTATTCACTTATAGGATCTGAAAGGATCCTATAGCAACAATGTAACCATCCAGCTGGCCACAGCTGAAGGCAATGAGGCAACAGAGCACCATGCTCCTTTTAAACCCTTGCCCTAGAACGTTTGGAATTCGTGGGGGAGGGAAAGAAGGGGAACGAGCAAGGGAGGCGCATGGATGCTCCAATGGCTACTTCTAGTAGAAGTTTACCGTTCAGGCTACTCTGGTCAGAGCATTCCCATGAGTGGGAATATGCAGAGGATACTCAAAGGAAGAACTCACCCTTGCCCTTCCACAGCCCTGAAGTTTTGGGTCACTGATATTCTCCCCCTCAAAACACACACTTATTACATTGTCCTTACTGGAGAGGGGTTTGGGGGATTACCTCAACAAGCTTCTGTTGTTCTGAGTCAACCAAACAACCTCACCACACCTCCCACGTTACACTATAGCCACTTGGTGTGAGAGTGGGCCTCTCCAGCACTAACTCACAGACAGATTTAATATTTCCTAGCTTTGTCCTCCAGCCTTAGAACCTAAGGAGTTGGAAAAGGTCACTGACCCTTCAGGGCAATTCCCATCCCCAACTGCCAGGGCACAGGTCAAGTAGCACCTGGAAAGGACATCAGCAGCTTTGCTCAGAACAAGTGAAATACAGCACTGCCTCCTATCCTCTCTTTACATAACATGCATGGGACAAAAATATTGACCCTGATCTCTTCCCTCCCCTCCCCCAGAGACCATGCAAGAGCAGGACACCAACCCCCTCCAACCTTGCACAAGACCAGGGTACCTCTCCCTACCTTGAGGACCTACCCGAGACCAAACCATGGACCCCAATACTCCACAGGACCCATATAAGACTGGGACATTGACCCCTGATCCCTCAGGATCCACGTGCTCTCATGGTACTAACCAGATCTCCTCACCCAAGGACTCAAATGAAGTCAGGGCACTAACCCCAGCCTTTGCAAGAATCCATGTGAGACTAGGGCACTGACCCAGAACTGCAGTGTGAACCGCTGCTGCAGAGAGTTTCCAGAGACACTGGTCACTTTCAGCTGGACAGAGACATTCTGGATTCCATGGGTCCCATTGAACTCTATTTCATAGATCACCTGCAAGTCCAACACAGAGGACAGTCAGAGAAAGGACGAGGACCTGGGGTCTTAACTCCAGCCCTGCACTGCATCAATGATGGTGGAAGGGTGGTTCAGGTACCTCAGAAACAACATTGTGACAGGTGTTGCCATCCATCTGGGGAGCTCCAGGCTGTGTGACAGGAGTGATTCTCACCTGGAGGCAGCAAAAATAAAAAATCAGTTAATCCAGTAAAGAGTGGAGTGTGCCCATCCATCCCTGATGTGGAGGTTACTTACCGTAACTGGAGGTTCTTCGAGATATGTGGTCCCTATCTGTATTACCATGGGCCAGAGTCCGGAAATTCTTCAAAAGGAGTATTCATTAACATGCGCAGTAGCTCCCCTTTTACTCCTGACTGAGGGTATAAGAGTCAATGCAAGTCAACACTTCTCCAGTTCCGCTTCTTATTGCAAATCCAACAGGATCTGAAGCAGTTGGGGAGGGAGGGCAAGTAGTGAAATACGGCTAGGGCCCGCACATCTCAGAGAACCTCCAGTAACAGTAAGTAACCTCCACTTCTTTTTCAAGTGATGGTACCTATGTGTATTCCATACCTGGGTGATTGGCAAGCAGTGTTCAGGCTGCAGGAGAGTGCGAGGAAGCTGGCAGCAAAGATATTTGCAATACTGCCATTCCTACCACTGCATCCACAGCTGATGCCTGACCTCGAGCGTAGTATGTTGCAAACATGTGGACAGAACTCCAAGTTGCTGCTCTGTTCTGCAGTGGGACATCAGATAGGGATGCTATACAGGCAGGAATTCTTGCTATTTTGTAGCACTCTAAAGATTCATCCCAAAACCCACTTAGAAATTCTCTGGGAGCATACGGCTTGCCTACACAAACTTTCTGCTATGGCAGTAAAAAATCTCTGAGATTTTTAATGGATTTGCTTCTTTGAAGATAGAACACCAGGGTGCACTGGCTGTCAAGGGAATGAATCTCTTCTCTTCGGAGGAAGCATGGGGTTTTGGGAAAAATACAAGTAAGTGTATTGCTTGACTGATGTGAAACTCAGAATCAATCTTGGGGAGAAATCTGGAGCGTACCAAAGGGAAAATTTCTCTTGTGAAACACTGTACAGGGAGGGTCTGCAATGATGGCTCCTAGCTCACTGACCCTCCTGGCTGAAGTGATGGTCACGAAGAACGCCACCTTCATGGACAGGTGGGTCATGGCACATGTTGCCACAGATTTGAAGGGTGGTCCTGTGAGTGTCGATAGGACAAGGTTAAGGTCCCATTGAGGCATAGGTTTAAGGATTGGTGGGAAGGTCCTCATCAAGACCTTCATAAATCGTAACATCCTTTCACTGGTGCTAGGTGTACCTGCAGCAAACTAAGAGGTAGGCCTGAATTCTTCAAGAACAGGAGAGAGTCCAGGACAGCCACAATGCCCATAGTATCTAGCGAATGTTGGTGGAGTCATGCCCATGCCAAAAAGTGCCTCCATTTGGGTTAGGTAGCAGGTTCTAGCAGAATCCTTTCTACTTTGGTTAAGGATTTTCTGAATGGGGGCAGAGCATAAGCATTCTATTTCCGAAGCCCATCCAAACACCAGGCCGTGAAGTGGAATGAGCCCAGGTTGGGGTGGTTGATTTTCCCCCTATGCTGGATTAGGAGATCCAGAAATGGATGGTCCTGATAAATGGGTGGGTGAACATGGTTAGAAGTTCCATGAACCATGAGAATGATACTCATGTACTATGAGAAATGCAGTGACAAAGTCAATATCAATTTTCTCTGTAACTTGTGGGAGTGGGGGGTGGATAGGAGGACCTGAGGCCACCCATCCAAGACAGCAGGGGAGCAGCACTCTGGGAGTTGCAACTTATGGCTCCCCTAAAACAACATAGGGGAGGCTTTCTGTTCATCTATGATGCAAAGAGGTCCCATAGTGAGCACCTCATTGTGTAAATATTATGGTTAGGACGGAGTTATGAATCTTCCATTCACGATCTGCAGAGAATCTTCTGCTTAGCTTGTCTGCAAGGGCATTGTGAATACCCAGAAGGTATACAGCCTGCATTGTGATGTGGTGCCTAACACACCAATTCCAAAATCTGACAGCTTCCGGACAGAGGGGACGAGATCTTGCTCCTCCCTGTTTATTTATATAAACTACCGCAGTGATATTGTCCAGCATGAGGGGAAGGAAGGCCTTGCACACAAGGCAGACCACCCTCAGTTCCAGTAAGTTTATATGTAGCCTGGCCTCTTGTGGGGTCCAGGTACCCTGAGCAGTGTAGATGTCCAGATGAGTGGCCCTCATCCCAGAAGGGAGCCATCTGTAACAAGGGTGGTCCTAGGCGCAGGAAGGCTGAAAGAAGTCCCCACTGTGACCTTTTCCAGATTCGACCACGAAACAAGAGAGGAGATAACTCTGGTGGGAACAGTAACCTGGAGTCGATGTGGTCCCTGCTCAGTTGGTAAATCAAGCGGAGCCAAGTTTGCAGACACCATAAGTGGAGCCTGGCAAATGGCACCATGTAGATGCAAGCTACCATGTGGCCTAACACAGAGAGACCTGTGCACCATCATTTCCAACTACTCATAACAAGGTTTTATCAATAAGTTAAAGAGGTAATAGGTGAGAAAATTATTCTTGTATATAAAAGAAGAAAATGGGCAAATGCCTTTTGTAAATTAAAAAATTGATTAAAAAAATGTGTAGTACAGATAAGACTTTGTACTTGTGATTGTTGTTTGTAGTCATTATTCTTGGACTTCATGTGTTCCTAGAGCCTCCAAATCTGAGAAAAGCTCCAAAGGTGATTTCACTCTCTTGATCTAGAAACTGTAGCATAAGAACGGCCACACTGGTCAGACCAAAGGTCCATCTAGCCCAGTATCCTGTCTTCCAACAGTGGCCACTGCCAGGTGCCCCAGAGGGAATGAACAGAACAGGTAATCAAGTGATCCATCCCCTGTCACCCATTCCCAGCTTCTGGCAAACAGACGCTAGGGACACCATTCCTGCCCATCTCGTTTAATAGCCATTGATGGCCCTATCCTCCATTAATTTAGTAGTTCTTTTTTGAACCCTGTTTTAGTCTTGGCCCTTTTCCACTTTCCACACACCAGAAAGAGAGTCAAGCAACTTCTGAATTAGAAACACACAGGGATTGAAAATATTACTAGAGATTAGCTGAAGTTGAGAGAACAAGTTTTCCCCAACTCCTCAATATGGGGCTGATGTCTGGAGTTCAGATAATATTCAAATGCAGAACAAAGACCCCAAGGTATTGATGCTAGCCTTTGGGGAAAAAACAAACAAACAAACACTGGGTGGGTTTTCATAGATTCCAAGATTAGAAGGGACCAACCTCTGTGACCATCTAGTATGATCTCTGTTATAACACAGGCCCCAGAATTTACCTGAAATAATTCCTGTTTATACTAGAGAATCTTTTAGAAAAAGGTCCAATCTTGATTTTAAAAATGACCAGAGATGGAGAATACAGCACAATCTTTGGTAAGTTGCTCCTACTGTTGATTACTTTTACTTAAAATTTAGGGCTGTCAAGCGATTAAAAATGTAATCATGATTAATCGCACGATTAATCGCGTTGTTAAACAATAATAAAATACCATTTGTTTAAATATTTGTGGATGTTTTCTACATTTTCAAATATATTGATTTCAATTACAACACAGAATACAAAGTGTACACTGCTCACTTTATATATATATATATATTTATTACAAATATTTGCACTGTAAAAACAAAATAGTATTTTTCAATTTACCTAATACAAATACTGTAGTGCAATCTCTTCATCATGAAAGTTGAACTTACAAGCGTAGAATTATGTACAAAAACTGCATTCAAAAATAAAAGAATGTAAAACTTTCGAGCCTACAAGTTCACTCAGTCCTACTTCTTGTTCAGCCAATTGCTCAGACAAACAAGTTTGGTTACAATTTGCAGGAGATAATGCTGCCCGCTTCTTGTTTACAGTGTCACCTGAAAGTGAGAACAGGAGTTTGCATGGTACTTTTGTAGCCGATGTTGCAAGGTATTTGCGTGCCAGATATGCTCAACGTTCATATGCCCCTTCATGCTTCGGCCACCATTCCAGAGAACGTTTCCATGCTGATGATGGATTCTGCTTGATAACAATCCAAAGCAGAGCGGACCGATGCATGTTCATTTTCATCAGTTGAGTCAGATGCCACCAGCAGAAGGTTGATTTTCTTTTTTGGTGGTTCGGGTTCTGTAGTTTCCGCATCGGAGTGTTCCTCTTTTAAGACTTCTGAAAGTATGCTCCACACCTTGTCCCTCTCAGATTTTGGATGGCACTTCAGATTCTTTAACCTTGGGTTGAGTGCTGTAGCTATTTTTAGAAATCTCACATTGGTATTTCTTTGCATTTTGTCACATCTGCTGTGAAAACATTCTTAAAATGAACATGTGCTCGGTCATCATCCGAGACTGCTATCACATGAAAATATATGGCAGAATGCGGGTAAAACAGAACAGGAGACAAACAATTCTCCCACAAGGAGTTCAGTCACAAATTTAATTAATGCATTATTTTTTTAACGAGCATCATCAGCATGGAAGCATGTCCTCTGAAAGCATGTCCTCTGGCCGAAGCATGAAGGGGCATATGAACGTTTTGCATATCTGGCAGGCAAATACCTTGTAACGCTGGCTACAAAAGTGCCATGCGAACACTTGTTCTCCCTTTCAGGTGACATTATAAATAAGAAGCAGGCAGCAGTATCTCCCATAAATGTAAACACACTTGTTTGTCTGAGCAACTAAATGAACAAGAAGTAGAACTGAGAGGATTTGTAGGCTCTAAAGTTTTACATTATTTTGTTTTTGAGTGCCGTTATGTAACAAAAAACCAAAAAATCTACATTTGCAAGTTACACTGTCATGATAAAGAGATTGCACTACAGTACTTGTATTAGGTGAACTGAAAAATACTATTACTTTTGTTTATCATTTCTATAGTGCAAATATTTGTAATAAAAAATAATAATATAAAGTGAGCACTGTACACTTTGTATTGCGTTCCAACAGAAATCAATATATTTGAAAATGTAGAAAAACATCCAAAATATTTTATTAAATTTCAATTGGTATTCTATTGTTTAACAGTGTGATTAATCACGATTAATTTTTTGAGTTAATCACATGAGTTAACTGCGATTAATCAACAGCCCTATTAATTTTGTATGCCTATTTCCAGTTTGAATTTCTCAAGCTTCAACTTGTATACCTTTGTCTGCTAGATTGGAGAGCTCATTATTAAATATCTGTCCCCTCCTACGTATTTACAGACTGATCAAGTCACCCCTTTAACCTTCTCTTTGTTAATCTAAATAGATTGAGCTCCTTGAGTTTCACTATAGAAACCAGTGACGAACCCATGGTGATGTCATACATTTCACTTTAAATAAATAAAAGGCTACAGGAAGTTTATCTCTGAAGTCTGTGAGCCTGGAGTAGTTATTAAAGTCATATTTCACTAACAAAGGTTGGTAGTTAAATGACATAAAATTGCAGACCTGTGGAGGAGAAGACCTTCCTTACCAGGAGGTCTAGTCTCTTAGAGCCCTTATCTGCCAGGGTGAATTTCAGATAGTGCAACCAAACTCTGTCTGCAGTCACCTGTGTCACCACCAAATTGAATATACCCTCCAGTGTTACATAAGTAACAGCCTAGGGTCCAAGGAGTTCCAGCAGTTACACCTGAAGGACTCAGCTCATCTGTTGCAGTTGAATGGTCTTTAAATGAACAAGGCAGTGCCGACAATTGGTGAGGACCAGGACTCATAGAACCAGTAAGCATTTGTGCTTTATGCTTCGGTACCACCTTCAGAACCGGCAGATCTCTCTTTTTGCCCACATTGCCTTCCAGCTTGGGGGTCTTTGGCAGAGCTGGTTCCATTGGTTCTGAATGAGACATGACATCTCCCCCAACCTGGACCGTCTCAGGGAGGAAACATGTTTCTTATTGACTGTCCTCTGCATGGTTCTGTCCTTGTGCACATCAGAGTGCTCTCTACTTTCACGGGGAGCCCTGGAGGAAGAGCCCTTGGGCTTCAGTGTTAGAGGCTCTGCTTCAAGGCACATGCTCGGAGGGCACTGCTGGTTGGTTGAGGCCAACATACAGGGGTTTTTCCTGGGCCTGGATCAGAGCGGGGCCTCATAGCCTCCTCCATCAGGTACTTTCTTAGGCAAAGCCCCCGTGCCTCTCAAGTTCTGAGTGGTAGGATCGACAGATACTGAACTTTGCAGAGATACGTGCTGCACTCAGACAGGAGTATCGCAAAATGGGGAAGAGATGGCCAGCCCTCTGTGGAGATAGAGGTGGTTAGGGACTATTTAGAAAAGCTGGACGTGCACAAGTCCATGGGGCCGGACGAGTTGCATCCGAGAGTGCTGAAGGAATTGGTGGCTGTGATTGCAGAGCCATTGGCCATTATCTTTGAAAACTCGTGGCGAACGGGGGAAGTCCCGGATGACTGGAAAAAGGCTAATGTAGTCCCAATCTTTAAAAAAGGGAAGAAGGAGGATCCTGGGAACTACAGGCCAGTCAGCCTCACCTCAGTCCCTGGAAAAATCATGGAGCAGGTCCTCAAAGAATCAATCCTGAAGCACTTGCATGAGAGGAAAGTGATCAGGAACAGCCAGCATGGATTCACCAAGGGAAGGTCATGCCTGACTAATCTAATCGCCTTTTATGATGAGATTACTGGTTCTGTGGATGAAGGGAAAGCAGTGGATGTATTGTTTCTTGACTTTAGCAAAGCTTTTGACACGGTCTCCCACAGTATTCTTGTCAGCAAGTTAAGGAAGTATGGGCTGGAAGAATGCACTATAAGGTGGGTAGAAAGCTGGCTAGATTGTCGGGCTCAACGGGTAGTTATCAATGGTTCCATGTCTAGTTGGCAGCCGGTATCAAGTGGAGTGCCCTAAGGGTCGGTCCTGGGGCCGGTTTTGTTCAATATCTTCATAAATGATCTGGAGGATGGTGTGGATTGCACTCTCAGCAAATTTGCGGATGATACTAAACTGGGAGGAGTGGTAGATACGCTGGAGGGGAGGGATAGGATACAGAAGGACCTAGACAAATTGGAGGATTGGGCCAAAAGAAATCTGATGAGGTTCAATAAGGATAAGTGCAGGGTCCTGCACTTAGGACGGAAGAACCCAATGCACAGCTACAGACTAGGGACCGAATGGCTAGGCAGCAGTTCTGCGGAAAAGGACCTAGGGGTGACAGTGGACGAGAAGCTGGATATGAGTCAGCAGTGTGCCCTTGTTGCCAAGAAGGCCAATGGCATTTTGGGATGTATAAGTAGGGGCATAGCGAGCAGATCGAGGGACGTGATCGTTCCCCTCTATTCGACATTGGTGAGGCCTCATCTGGAGTACTGTGTCCAGTTTTGGGCCCCACACTTCAAGAAGGATGTGGATAAATTGGAGAGAGTCCAGCGAAGGGCAACAAAAATTATTAGGGGTCTGGAACACATGACTTATGAGGAGAGGCTGAGGGAGCTGGGATTGTTTAGCCTGCAAAAGAGAAGAATGAGGGGGGATTTGATAGCTGCTTTCAACTACCTGAAAGGGGGTTCCAAAGAGGATGGCTCTAGACTGTTCTCAATGGTAGCAGATGACAGAACGAGGAGTAATGGTCTCAAGTTGCAGTGGGGGAGGTTTAGATTGGATATTAGGAAAAACTTTTTCACTAAGAGGGTGGTGAAACACTGGAATGCGTTACCTAGGGAGGTGGTAGAATCTCCTTCCTTAGAGGTTTTTAAGGTCAGGCTTGACAAAGCCCTGGCTGGCATGATTTAACTGGGATTTGGTCCTGCTTCGAGCAGGGGGTTGGACTAGATGACCTTCTGGGGTCCCTTCCAACCCTTATATTCTATGATTCTATGATTCTAGGACAAGCACTGTTGATGTTCATCATTGATGGAGAGGAAGCAAGGACAGGAGACGCAGTTCTTGAATCCCGGGACTCTGGGCATAGTCCCGTAACCAGGGATGGTTTCCCTCAACTGGGGAGATCAAAACTGGGGAGGAAAAAACTACTCTAAATTTATTAGAAAATTAAACTACTTAGCTATGATATAAACTACTTAAAAATATTTTCTACTTTACAGGTTTTAGTGAAGGAGGACATGACTCCAACTCAGGCTATGCAGAGGTAAGAAGGAACTGGAGAGGCATCGACCCACCCTGCCTCAGATATCCTTGGTTGGGAGCACAAGGGGAGCTACTGCACGTGCAGATCAACGGACACTGCTTTTGAAGAATTTCCAGACTCAGACACGCTTGTGTATCCATGTGTGAAAAACACATAGGGATCATCACTTGAAGAAGAACTGAGGCCTTCCCCTGCCTCCTCTTTCCAAACCACTTCCAAGTCTAAGTCCCTTCCCTTCTCAACTACATCTCTGTCTGTGACCTGCCCCTCCACTCCCAATCTATCCCAGAACCAGGGCCTGCTCTCTACTCCTTCTCTGCCCATCCCAGGCCAAAGATCTTCTACTCACTCACACATGCACACCACCTTAGAGTATACCCCATCTCATATCTGAAACCTTCCCCATATTCCTTTTCCAGAGACAGTGTGGCTTTCTCCTCCAAAACCTTGTCTCAGACGCAGAACTCTTCCATTCCCCCAAAGTGCTTGACTCAAGCAGCTCACTCTGTATGCCTCAGACTCAGGATTCCCTTAATCTCAGATGCAGGAATTATTTTCACTGGCAGAGTCTCACCTGCATGAGCTGGACAACGGTCATATTAACTGGGACCTGGAAAAGAAAAATCAACAGGTGTGTTTTGACTGTAGGTGCCCGGAGTCACAAGGAAATCACACACCAGTTTCTAGATACTGTGGTGATAAGCAGAGCCCTGCCTATTCCAAGGCTGTAGAACTTGCCACCAACTTTGTGTTCTAGAATCTAGAAGTATGGTCTAGTGGATACAGCACTGGTCTGAGACCTATGTTGTTTTCCTGGTTCTGCTAGTGACCTGCTGTGTGCAAAGCCAAATTAAGGTACTACAGGCCTGTGCCCAGGGCTCCTGTGACTGGCGTCAGATGATTACAGAAGAACCTCAGCTTTCATTTACGAAAATGTAATTTTCTAGGTCCCATGGTTGTGAAGTTGTGAGGTTGTGAAGTAAACCTTGAAAATACAAACCAGGTGTAACTGATGCAGTGACAACTGTTCTACTCTGCAGACATCCTGAAAAAATAATTCAGAGAGGAGCAAACTGTCCCATCCATTTCAATAGCATATTAATATTTACACCAATATTAATTTTTAATAAATCTTGGAATACCAGGGAAATTCCCAAAGACTAGAACAGCAATAATGGTGTGCCAATATTCAGAAAGGGAAAACAGGGGGATCCTAGTAAAATAGGCCAGCTAGCCCATCATCAACCTCAAGAAAAATAATTGAAAAGCTGATATGAGAGTCAAATCAATAAAATGCTGGGAATATAATTAATGCAGTCAACATGGTTTTATAGAAAACAGCTCTTGACAAACAAACCTGATTTAATTATTTGATGAAATTGCAAGTTTGGTTGATAAAGGTAACTGCACAGATGTAATAGATTTAGACTTTTGTAAAGCACTTGACTGGATATCACACAACATTCTGATTAAAAAATTAGCACTATACAATATCAGTACAGCACATATTAAATGGATTAAGAGCTGGCTAGCTGACAGATGTCAAAGCAGTTATCAATAGGAGATGTGTTTCTAGTAGGGTTCTTCAGAATCGGTTGAAACCTGATGCTATTCAATCTTTTCATCAATGACCCAGAAGTAAATATAAAATCACTGCTAATAAAATTTGTAGCTGACACAAAGATTGGTGGAGTGGTAATAATGAGTTGGACAGGGCTGTCATACACAGCGATCTGGATCACTTGGTAAACTGGGCCCTGTCAAACAAAATGTGTTTTAATACAGCTACTTGCAAGGTCATACATCTAGGAACAAAGAATGTAGGTCACTGTTACAGGGTGAGCTGACCTTTTTTGTGGGTTAGACCTCAGCTGCACCTGTGCCATGCTTAGCTTGCCTCCCTCGATGAAGGGAGAGAGTGCTGAAGTCATGTTACAAAGCTGATGAGACTAAACTGGGCCTTCATGGAAGCTAGTGACATGTGATCAGAGCAAGATCAGATCAGAGAGACTCCAGAGAGAGTGGCACTGGGAATGGATGCTTCAGCAGCAGTGGGTGGGAGGACTCCAGAAAAAAACAGACCTGGGAGTCAGTGCTCTATAAGAAGAAGCAGGACAGGCTGGGAGAACACAGGAGGAAGACAGGGAAGTTTGGGATGACTGGGCAGACAGCCTGGTTGTGCAGGTTACCCAAGGCTGGGAACCCATAACTGATGATTGATGTGAGTTACCCCTATGCAGCCACCCTGTGAGTTTCCCCTTAATCTCCCCTAATATTAAGGAGAGGATGGACAGACTGTTCATACTGCCATCAAGCAAGGTAATGCAGTGACTCCTCTGAACAAGGGGAGGATGAAGGAACTAAGAGCTCAGGAGGGCCAGAGCTGAGTCCAAGAGAAGTGCAGTGTTGAAAGAGTGTGGTGCAGAAAAGAAAACAGACCCTAGGGGAGAAAGGGCTGTGCCTCATGAGACTTTGATGGAAGGTGTGTGTTTGTTTGGTTTGATTTAAAGGGATGATCTTTTTGTGACTTGGCCAGAGAGTTATGTCACCTGCTGAAGACGAAAAACCCATGGGAGATTAAGGGAAAATGAGGTACCAGAGCAAAATTGGGTAGATCCCTGTTACAATCACACTTCTACAATAGCAGACGATACTTTGGAAAACTGTGACACAGAAAAGGACTTTGGGAGATGAGGTATAGCTTGACTTTAGTAAGGCTTTTGATACTGTCTCGTATGATCTTCTCATAAACAAACTAGGGAAATACAACCTAGATGGAGCCACCAAGTGGGGGGGAGCGGTCAGTGCTAACGAGGCCAATTAAATTAAGGTGAAAGTGGCCTATTCTCTTGTCAACTGTTCAGAATAGGCCACTTCCATCTTAAGTGAATTGGCCTCATTAGCACTGACCCGCCACTTGGTAAGGGAACTCCCATCTTTTCATGTGCTGTATATATATACTGCTTACTGTATTTTTCACTTTCAAGTGGGTTTTAGCCCACAAAAGCTTACAGATTCATAGATATTAAGGTCAGAAGGGACAATTATGATCATCTAGTCTGACCTCCTGCATAATGCAGGCCACCGAATCTCACCCACCCAATCTCACCCACCCACTCCTGCAATAAACCTCTCTCCTATGTCTGAGCTATTGAAGTCCTCAAATCATGGTTTAAAGCCTTCAAGGTGCAGAGAATCCTCCAGCAAGTGACCCGTGCCCCATGCTGCAGAGGAAGGCAAAAAAACCCCAGGGCCTCTTCCAATCTGCCTGGAGGAAAATTTCTTCCCAACCCCAAATATGGCTATCAGCTGAACCCTGAACATGTGGGCAAGATTCACCAGCCAGATACCCAGGAAAGAATTCTCTGTAGTAACTCAGATCCCACCCAATCTAACACCCCATCACAGGCCACTGGGCCTATTTACCATGAATAGTTAAAGATCAATTAATTGCCAAAATTATGTTATCCCAAATAAATTTGTTACTCGCTAAGGTGCCACAAGGACTCCTCATTGTTTTTGCTGATACAGACTAACACGGCTACCACTCTAAATCTAGGTGTTTTGTTTTTTAAAACAATTTTAGTTAAAAACAGTGCAATTATTTGTATGTAGACAAGGCCTAAAAAAATAACAATGGGTGACTTCTACAATTTGCATATAAACTGGTCAAGTATTGCAATAGGACAAGGTTTAGAGAAACAGTCTCGACACCTTAAATGACTGCTTTCTAGAGCACCAGGAGAGGCTATGTTTGATCTGGGACTAACAATCACACAAGTAGTCCAAGGACTAATGTTGAGCCATTAAGTAACACTGGTTTCAATGTAATTAAGCTCAACATTCCAGGAATGGGGGGAGAGGGAAATCACAAGTGCTGTCACTGGATACTATACTTTAGATAATTTTTGTTGTTTTTGACTAGCTTCCTCATTTTAAATTAAGTCAAAAGAAATTAAAATAGTCAGAGTTGGCATGGAGTCTACTTGAGCAAGTCATAATAATAATCTCAAAAACGGCATGCATTCCCCTAAACAAAACAAAACACAAAAGGCAAGGAAAAAACCCTGTATAGTTAATGATAAAATACAAGAGGTTATTTGAGTCAAAGAGATATCCTTCAGAAAATGGAAACCCAAACCTAGGGAAGTCAAAATAAAGGAGCAAATGCTGTGGCAGATAAAGCGTCAGATGGAAATTAGGAGGGCGAAAGGAGCAATTTTTGAAGTGCAAATAGTCAAAAACAGAACAGAAACAGATAGCCAAAGACTCAAAAAGTAACAGAAATTTTTTTTTTTAAAGTACATCAGAAGCAAGAAGCCTGCTAAACAACCAGTGGGGCCACTGAACGATCCAGGTGCTAAAGGAGCACTCAAGGACGATAACGCCATTGTGGAGAAACTAAATTAATTCTTTGCATCTGTCTTCACGGCTGATGATGTGAGGGAGATTCCCAAACCTGAGCCATTCTTTTTAGGTGACAAATCTGAGGAATTGTCCCAGATTGAGATATCATTAGAGGAGGTTTTGGAACAAATTGATAAATTAAACAGTAATAAGTCACCAGGACCAGCTGATATTCACCCAGGAGTTCTCAAGGAACTCATATGTGAAATTGCAGAACTATTAACTGTAGTCTGTAACCTATCATTTAAATCCGCTTCTGTACCAGATGACAGGAGGATAGTTAATGTGACGCCAATTTTTTGAGAAAGGCTCCAGAGGTGATCCCGGCATTTACAGGCCTGTAAGCCTGACTTCAGTACCGCGCAAACTGGTTGAAACTATAATAAAGAACAATATTGTCATAAATATAGATGAACATAATTTGTTGAGGAAGAGTCAAATGGTTTTAGTAAAGGGAAATCATGCCTCACCAATCAACTAGAATTCGTTGAGGGGGTCAACAAGCATGTGGCCCAATGGGATCCAGTGGATACAGTGTACTTAGATTTTCAGAAAGCCTTTTACAAGGTCCCTCACCAAAAGCTTTTACACAAAGTAAGCTGCTACGGGATAAGAGGGAAGGTGCTCTCATGGACTGGTAACTGGTTAAAAGATAGGAAAAAAAGGGTAGGTATAAATGGTCAGTTTTCAGAATGTAGAGAGGTAAATTGTGGTATTCCCCAGGGGTCTGTTCTGGGACCAGTCCTATTCAACCAATTCATAAATGATCTGGGAAAAGGGACAAACAGTGAGGTGGCAAAATTTGCGGATGACACAAAATTACTCAAGATAGTTAAGACCCAGGCAGAGCTACAAAAGGATCTCTCAAAACTGGGTGACTGAGCAACAAAATGGCAGATGAAATTTAATGTTTATAAATGCAAAGTAATGCACATCGGATTATGCTTTCCAAAGTATACATATAAAATGATGGGGTCTAAATTAGCTGTTACCACTCAAGAAAGAGATCTTGGAGTCATTGTGGATAGTTCTCTGAAAACATCCACTCAATGTACAGCGGCAGGCAAAAAGCGAACAGAATGCTGGGAATAATTAAGAGAGGGATAAGATAATAGGACAGAAAATATCATGTTGCCTCTATATAAATCCATGGTATGCCCACAGCTTGAATACTGTGTGCAGATGTGGTCACCCCACCACAAAAAAGATATATTGGAATTGGAAAAGGTTCAGAAAAGGGCAACAAAAATGATTAGGGGTATGGAATGGCTTCCGTATGAGGAGAGATTAATTAGACTGTGACTTTTCAGCTTAGAAAAAAGACGGCTAAGGAGAGATATGATTGAGGTCTATAAAATCATGACTGGTGTAGAGAAAGCAGATAAGGACGTGTTATTTACTCCTTCTCATAACACAAAAACAAGGGATCACCAAATGAAATTAATTGGCAGCAGGTTTATAACAAACAAAAGGAAGTATTTCTTCACACAATGCACAGTCAACCTGTGAAACTCCTTGCCAGAGGATGTTGTGAAGGCCAAGACCTTAACAGGGTTCAAAAAAGAACTAGATAAATTCATGGAGGATAGGTCCATTAATGACTATTAGCCAGGATTAGCAGGAATGGTGTCTCTAGCCTTTGTTTGCCAGAAGCTGGGAATGAGCGACAGGAGATAGATCACTTGATGATTACCTGTTCTGTTCATTCTCTCTGGGGCACCTGGCACAGGCCACTGTCGGAAGACAGGATACTGGCCTAGATGGACTTTTGGTGTGACCCAGTAAGGCTATTCTTATGTTACGTTAAACCACAAGAAATTCTTTAAATATCATTTGTTTCTTCAACACAAAAGATGTGAAAAGATATCTCATTTACCTGAAGAGAGCAGGTGTAAAGAGATGGTGAAGAAACAAATGATTTATTAAATAGCAGCAAGTCACGAAGACAGGATGCTCTTGATTCAAGAGTTCTGTAGGAACGTAGAATGGAATGGATGGACTGCTCACAGTAAAGAACAATCTTTCATTAAAATCAGCTTCTGTACTGAAAGGGAGGCCAAAGTGATTGGGAGACCCTGGGAATTGCACACAAGTGAGCTCTACTTTAGTAATAGCTAAATTAGCTGAAGAGGCAGTGGCAAAATAGTGCAGGAGAACAGGATGTCAAGTCACAGTACAGGAAGCTGCTGAGGGTGGGGAAAACGATATACACCTTTAGTATAGTGAAGTCACGGTAATATGAGGCTGCGTCCAGGGCAGGATCAGTGGTGCAGCTGCTGCTCAGGTTGGTGAAGGTCCGAGTACAGCTTGTGCTTTTACTCTCCAGAAAACCTGAAAAAAGGGAACAAGAGACACAAAAAATATCAGTAGGAAATGTCATCCTCAATAAAGCTGGAACTGCTACCACCACCGCACTCACCAGCATGATTCCCATCAATACAAAGTCCATTGGCACCCATTCCCACTGGCTGTCTTAGTGTGCTCAGTACAGACGATGCAGCAAAATAGGTCTGGATTGGATCACCAGCCTGAAAAGGAAATGTGGAGAATTTACAAAGTGTTCATGGAACACCAGTATCAAGTGCAAGGGTCTGAATACCATCAATGCAGAAAGGAATTATAGCAAACCATCAGGTCTGCTAGAGTTAAGGTTTAAACCAGCTTCTGTTTAAAGCTTGACTCTTTGAAGTGCTCTAAAACCTGCATGGCTACTTGGATTGCCCTGAAATTTGGTGTGCCTCACTTTGGGGGTACAGGGGTAGAGTTAGTGACTCAAACTAATTGATGATCATTTAACCAAGGGGTTCCCAGAATACCCAGCCCAGCCTCACAGGAACAAAGGACACTGGCCTAGGCAGCAACAAAGGATCTGTTGGACTCTCAAGTAAGTCACCTCCCTTCCCTTGGTCAGTCAGGGACTATGATGAGGTAATGATCACCTGACCCTGAAGGGGGGTGGCAAAGCCAAGAGGGAAAAAAGAACATAATAAAAGGGAGAGACGTTTGCCATGCTCTTCCTCTCTCTTCCACCTCCATCTACAGACATCACCACCAAGAGACTGAAACGCTGATCAAAGGGGAGAGCTTGGCTGAAGGGCAACCAGCCAGCCTGTGGTGAGAAGCATCTAAGTTTGTAAGAAGAAAAGGAGTACTTGTGGCACCTTAGAGACTAACAAATTTATTTGAGCATAAACTTTTCTGAGCTACAGCTCACTTCATCGGATGCATCTGATGAAGTGAGCTATAGCTCACGAAAGCTTATGCTCAAATAAATTTGTTAGTCTCTAAAGTACCACAAGTACTCCTTTTCTTTTTGCGAATACAGACTAACATCGCTGCTACTCTGAAACCTAAGTTTGTAAGGGCATTGAAACTGTTAAGATCAGCTTAGAATGTGTTTTGCTTTTATTTCGTTTGACCAAATCTGACTTGTTGTGCTTTGACTTATAATCACTTAAAATCTACCTTTTGTCGTGAATAAATTTGTTTGTTTATTCTACCTGAAGCAGTGCATTTGGTTTGAAGCATGTCAGAGACTTGGGATAACAAGCCTGGAACATATCAATTTCTTTGTTAAATTGATGAACTCATATAAGCTTGCAGCATCCAGTGAGCCATAACTGGACACTGCAAGACGGAGGTTCCTAGGGCTGTGTCTGGGACCGGAGATATTGGCTAGTGTCACTCTATTGCACAATCCAAGCTGGCCAAAAGTGCCCACTCATATAGCTGGGAGCAGTTTACATGCCAGAGGCTGTGTGTGAATATCCCAGGAGTGGGGGTTCTCACAGCAAAGCAAGGCAAGGCTGGCTCCCAGAGTCGAGTATTGGAGTGGCCTAGCAGATCACCAGTCCAGATAACACCAGGGGAACGCCACAAGGAGAAAGAAAAAGACAGAAAGCATGAACTGGCCTTAATGGAATGGAGGAAACAGAACCCCACACTGTGGGGCTCCACTTCTCCAAAAATCCACAAGTGGGAGCAGTTGTGTCCTGCATACAGCAAGTCTGGGGACATTATTGAATATTTCATCACCTTTGAGAGGCTGGGTGTGCTCCATGAGATTCCTGAGGATCAGCAGATGACCACTTTGGTTGCAAAGTTCTCTGTGAGAGCTCTGGATATATTTAATAAAATGTCAACTGATGATTCTTCAAATTATGGTAAATTTAAGGAATTGGTTTTAAAACAGTTTCAGATTACACCTGAAATTTATAGAGTGAAATTTAGAAGCCTTAAGAGAGGGGCTGGATTGAGTAATGTGGCATATGTAAACTAAATGAAAGATTTACTGGATAAGTGGGTAAGGGGAAAAGGTATTCCAACCTTTAAAGAAAAGTCTGATTTGGTGGCTCAGGAACAGTTCCTGAATATGTCTAATGATGATGTAAAACAGTGTTTATGGGATAAAAAGGTAAAAACGGTCGAAGAACTTGCAACTTTTGCTGATGAATTTGAACAATCCCAAGCATCTATTAGGTATAGATCACAGGCAGAGGGGTTTAAGTTTGGTGGGAAGCACACTTCCCGTTTTACCACTGGGAAGGAGGAGGGTGGATGGGAGGCTGGACGCTATAAAATCATGAATGGTGTGGAGAAAGTGAATAGGGAAGTGTTATTTACCCCTTCACATAGCACAAGAACCAGGGGTCATCCAATGAAATTAATAGGCAGCAAGTTTAAAACAAACACAAGGAAGTATTTCCTTAACACACACTCAACCTGTGGAACTTGTTGCTATCAGAAGTTGAGAAGGCCAAAAGTATAACTGTATTGAAAAAGGATTACCTAAATTCATGAAGGCTAGGTCCATCAATGGCTATTAGACAAATGGTCAGGGACGCAACCCCATACTCTGAGTGTCCCTAAACCTCTGACTGCCAGAAGCTGGGACTGGACAACAAAGAATGGATCACTCCAAATTGCTCAGTTCTGTTCATCTGGCACCAGCCACTGTAGTGGGTTAGAGGGAGCAGTGATCTAACTCTGTATCACATTCTTATATCTTCCTTGCTGCCACCAAGAACCCCAGAGAAAAACAATTAGATTTTTGTGAGTGCTCTTCCAACTCACCCGGTAAAAGGCAGAGGAAGATGGCTGGTCTTGTGATGGTGGAATGAATGATGGTCCGCCATACTGTGCCAAGTACACAGAGAAATCTGATTTTTTAACTTTCTGCGGCTGCTGGAAATAGTTCAACTTTGCTAAAGATGGGGAGGGAAAAAACAAACAAATCCTCCATCAAATCACTAGACAATGATTGTGGAAAGAAAGAGATCCACTTCCTGGACACTACAGTGCTAATAAACAATGGTCACATAAACACCACCCTATACCGGAAACCTACTGACCGCTATTCCTACCTGCATGCCTCCAGCTTTCACCCTGACCACACCACACGATCCATCGTCTACAGCCAAGCTCTGCGATACAACCGCATTTGCTCCAACCCCTCAGACAGAGACAAACACCTACAAGATCTCTGTCAAGCTTTCTTACAACTACAATACCCACCTGCAGAAGTAAAGAAACAGATTGATAGAGCCAGAAGAGTTCCCAGAAGTTACCTACTACAGGACAGGCCTAACAAAGAAAATAACAGAACGCCACTAGCCGTCACCTTCAGCCCCCAACTAAAACCCCTCCAACGCATTATTAAGGATCTACAACCTATCCTAAAGGATGACCCAACACTCTCACAAATCTTGGGAGACAGGCCAGTCCTTGCCTACAGACAGCCCCGCAACCTGAAGCAAATACTCACCAACAACCACATACCACACAACAGAACCACTAACCCAGGAACTTATCCTTGCAACAAAGCCCGTTGCCAATTGTGCCCACATATCTATTCAGAGGACACCCTCACAGGGCCTAATAACATCAGCCACACTATCAGAGGCTCGTTCACCTGCACATCCACCAATGTGATATATGCCATCATGTGCCAGCAATGCCCCTCTGCCATGTACATTGGTCAAACTGGACAGTCTCTACGTAAAAGAATAAATGGACACAAATCAGATGTCAAGAATTATAACATTCATAAACCAGTCGGAGAACACTTCAATCTCTCTGGTCACGCAATCACAGACATGAAGGTCGCTATCTTAAAACAAAAAAACTTCAAATCCAGACTCCAGCGAGAAACTGCTGAATTGGAATTCATTTGCAAATTGGATACTATTAATTTAGGCTTAAATAGAGACTGGGAGTGGCTAAGTCATTATGCAAGGTAGCCTATTTCCTTTTGTTTTTTCCTACCCCCCCCCCAGATGTTCTGGTTTAACTTGGATTTAAACTTGGAGAGTGGTCAGTTTGGATGAGCTATTACCAGCAGGAGAGTGAGTTTGTGTGTGTATGGGGGTGGGGGGGATGTGAGAAAACCTGGATTTGTGCAGGAAATAGCCCAACTTGATTATCATGCACATTGTGTAAAGAGTTGTCACTTTGGATGGGCTATCACCAGCAGGAGAGTGAATTTGTGTGGGGGGGTGGAGGGTGAGAAAACCTGGATTTGTGCTGGAAATGGCCCAACCTGATGATCACTTTAGATAAGCTATTACCAGCAGGACAGTGGGGTGGGAGGAGGTATTGTTTCATATTCTCTGTGTATATATAAAGTCTGCTGCAGTTTCCACGGTATGCATCCGATGAAGTGAGCTGTAGCTCACGAAAGCTCATGCTCAAATAAATTGGTTAGTCTCTAAGGTGCCACAAGTACTCCTTTTCTTTTTACTGTTATACAAGGCACTGGTGAGACCTCATCTAGAATATTGTGTGCAGTTCTGGCCTCCCTTGTTTAAAAAGGGTGAATTCAAACTGGAACAGGTACAGAGAAGGGCTACTAGGATGATCCGAGGAATGGAAAACTTGTCTTATGAAAGGAGACTCAGAGAGCTTGGCTTGCTTAGTCTAACAAAAAGAAGGCTGAGAGGAGATATGATTGCTCTCTATAAATATATCAGAGGGATAAATACCATGGAGGGAGAGGAATTATTTAAGCTCAGTACCAATGTGGACACAAGAACAAATGGAAATAAACTGGCCATCAGGAAGTTTAGATTTGAAATTAGATGAAGGTTTCTAACCATCAGAGGAGTGAAGTTCTGGAACAGCCTTCCGAGGGGAGCAGTGGGGGCTATATGGTGTGGGATCTGAGTTACTACAGAGAATTCTTTCCTGGGTGTCTGGCTGGTGAGGGCTATATGGTGTGGGATCTGAGTTACTACAGAGAATTCTTTCCTGGGTGTCTGGCTGGTGAGCTTTGCCCACATTCTCAGGGTTTAGCGGATAGCCATATTTGGGGTTGGGAAGGAATTTTCCTCCAGGTCAGATTGGCAGAGGCCCAGGGGTTTTTTTGCCTTCCTCTGCAGCGTGGGGCACGGGTCACTTGCTGGAGGATTCTCTGCACCTTGAAGTCTTTAAGCCATGATTTGAGGACTTCGGTAGCTCAGACATAGGTTAGGGATTTGTTACAGGAGTGAGTGGGTGAGATTCTGTGGCCTGCATTGTGCAGGAAGTCAGACTAGACGATCATAATGGTACTTTCTGACCTTAAAGTCTATGATTCTATGATTCGTAAACAAACTGTCTTGTGGCCCGCCAGCGGATTACCCTGATGGGCCGCGTGTGACCCAGTATGGTCGTTCTTATGTTCTTATCCAAGAGAAGGTTAAGAAGCAGTTTTATCATGGCTTACCAGTACCTACATTGGGAGAGATTTCTGAGAGACGACTCTTTAATCTAGCAGAATACATAACAAGATCCAATGGCTCGAAGCTGAAACTATACAAATTCAGACCAGAAATAAGGTGCAAATTTTAAACTGTGAGTTATTAGCCATTGGAATAATTTAATGAGGGATGTGGTGGAATCTACATCACTTTAAGGTTTTGTGTCTTTAAATCAAGACTGATTGTCTTTCTAAAAATATAGGCTGTACCCCAACAGAAATTAGGGGCTTGATGCAGGAATTACTGGGTAAAGTTCTCTAGCCTGTTATGCCAGAGGTCAAATTACAAGATTATACTTCTGGCCTTAAAATCTATGAATATTTGAGGGGTTTTTTAAATCACTGGATTCCCTTCTAAAAGCAGGATCTTTTCAGAAAGGACTGTACTGTACAGGTGTCAGGACAGAACATATGAGTTCTAGGTCAAAATTTCCAAAAGTGGCCAGTACCAGATGCTTCAAAGGCAGGGGAAAGAAACATCAAAGTGAACAATTACACAGGGCATTGGAGCGGAGCCCAGAGCTGGAGCGCGGAGCAGCTCCGGAGCAGTGGAGCTGCAGGTTTTTGCCTGGAGCTGGAGCAGAGCACAGCTCCAAAGCCCTGCAATTACAGAGTAACATACCCCAAGGGTAACCTACCCCCCCTCGGCCTTAGCAATTGTCTTTTGCACTGAAAAGAGGAGGGTTTATATCCCTTACATTTTTTCTTATATGATACAATTCTGGATATTCTCCGCTATGTAAACATCTAATACTTTTTTAAATCCTTCTAGGCCCTTGGGCTCAGCAATATTTTGTAGGAGTGAATGAATGAACCCCGAAGCAAGGGAGGCAACTCAAACCCAGGCTCCCTTGAAAGTGTTGTCTGCCTGCCCTACAGCAAAGTGGGGAGTAGAAGATGTGGAGCGGTATCACTCAACTTTACCAATTCTTGTTTCTTTGTCTCTTTTCAATTCACCAACTTTGTCCAAGTGGGCTGAAAGCATGACTGTTTCTTACACATCTGTTTGACCTTTCAAAAATACAGCCCTCTCCCATCCCCAAAATATAAATAAAAACAGTAGTGATAAAATCTTGGAAAATGATCCGGGGTCAAGAAGAGTGAGGTTGGTGTATGTTATGCTAGAGATCAGACTAGATGATCACAGTGATCCTTTCTGGCCTTAGAATTTGAAAGGAGAGGCTCTAAGATTAGAGCAGAAAGAAGTCTTTAGAGAGGACAATGGTGGTATCTGTACTCCTGGGGGAATACTGCACAAACTGTAGCCAATGATTTTAGTTATTATTCATTTATTGTGTAATGTTAAGATGAATCAATATGTTATACATATTCACTGTATGTTGACTAGAATGAATTTGTAGGATTATAAAAGTGTAAGATTGATCGGTATTTAGAGGAACCAAATATTAGATATGAGTAAGAAAAGTTGAAACGCAAGAACCTGTAGGCTGAGGCTTGCAAGAATTTAGCTTAGCTATTTTAGGCCTTGGAGACAAGAAATGATGACATAAGTGACCGGAAAATAACCCGATGCCCTAAAATTATGAGAAAAGTGGTACCAAGTGGTAATATTGCACAAAATTACCCAGAAGATTAATATTAGATCATAAAAATATTGTAAAGGCGCAACTGTCTGACATGTATCTTAACCACAGGATACATGTTGTGCATCAGTGCTAATGAGAATAAAGGGAACGTACATAGCCTATAGAAAATTGGGGTCTCTTAAGTTTCCAGGGGACACAGACCAATAAGAGAAAAGAGGACATGCGCAGAATGGACATGCGCAGAATGTAGGTATAGACAGAATCACATCATAAAAAGGGGATGCCCAGAATGGGAAAATTGAGCTTCCTATGGGAGATTCCAGCAGGAACCATCCCTCTACTGATGATCAAGCCATTAGCGACCCATCAGACCCTAACATTATTGTTAAGGATGGGAGTATAACTATATTTGTAACTTGTGCATAGGTCTGTATAGAATTTCTATACGTTTGGGTAATCATAACTTTAATTGTAACTTTAATAAAACTTGTAAAACAGACTAGACCTTGTACTTGTGAATGTATGTGTGATCACTACCCGTGGTCTTTATGTGTTCCCAGGGACTCTAAATCTGAAGCAAGTAGCAGAGCTGACATTCACTCTGTTAAGCTTGAAACTGTAGCCATCAGAGCCAAACCTATGGTGGTGGAATACCAGATTACAAAATTCACTTAAAATAAAATAAAAGGCTACAAAATGCAGAATTTATGTCCCCCGCAGATTCCCCCTCCCACCCACAGAATAATTGATTCAGATGGGGAGACAAAGTGAAGCTGCGAAAGGGGTCATGCTGCAGTTACATGTTTCATTCACCAAGAGCTGATTTGGCACCAGAAGAGAGGGCAGCTCGCTCACTGGCCAGAGAAGCCAGCTGTGGAGAGAGAGGGGGCAGAGGCTGCCTTCCTCACAACGCCCTGCCTGCTTGCACAGCCAGGTGAGAAGGCACAGGATATGGGCAGGCTGGATGGAGCGGGGCACACGGTGCTGCTGGGGGTCACACAGACTGGGGTTCAGAAGAGCTAGTGGGGGGGACAGACTGAGGTGGGGGAACAGAAGCTAGTGGTGTGACAACATTCAGACAGGCTGAATGGGAGTGCAGGGACACAAGAGGACAGAGGCAGCGATGCCTAGCTGAATGGGGAGTGGGGATGCAGGGACACACTGGGCCAGGGGAAGCCATACCTGGCTGGGTGAGGATGCAGAACACAGGGGAACAGGGGGAAATGAGGGTGCAGGGCCACATGGGGACAGGGGAAAATGTGCCTGACTGAACAGGAGAGGCTCGGGGTCTGGCAGGGTTTGCATGGGGGAGGCTCCCCAAGTCCCTAACAATTCCTCCCACCACAAAAAAAACTGTTCCACAATTCTCCCACCCACACCCCTCCAGGTTCACTCCCAGGTTCCTTCCCAGCAATTAGCTCCTCCATTACCTCTGACTCCCCTGAGCCTTTGCACTGCTTCTGAGGGGTGCGGGAAATATGCTCCTGTATTGTAGTTTAAATGAATTATTATTCAAAGTTCTCTATTAATGTGCCTAGTAAGAAATTTATTTGTCAAAAAACATTTCCTGAATCTTTTTTGTTGTCTGTATTGTTACAGACATACTTGCTGACAGGTATTTTGAAATAAATCACCAAAATAACTGAAACTAGTGTGATTATATTGCGTTATTTTGAAAAAATATGCAGAATTTTAAAATACTGTGCACACAATTTTTAATTTTTTGGCACAGAATTTCCCCAGGAGTATATCTGAGACACTAACCATTATGTGCTATTCTATGTATAGTGAAATAACTGAGGTATCTCAAATATGATTGGTAAACACTTATTTTTGGCCAAGCAAAGCAAGGTCCAATGCTCAACCCAATGGCATTCTCTCTGTGGGTCATTGCACCCTTGCTTGGTGGAACTATTCCTGTTTCAGCCATCATCACTGCAGCCCAGGTTCAGCAACAGGCTGTATGACATGCAAGGATTTCGGAAATCTGTTTCCTTTTGATGATAAAAAGCCACAAAACACCATTTTCTCAAGAAGGAGAAGTAGAGACTATTCCAAGGGGAAGGAAGATGGTCTTCAAGTTAAGGCACAAAACAGAGAATAAGGAAATCTGAGCTCTGTTCTTTGCCTCTGCCACAGACTTTGTCTGATCTTGAGCAAGTGCCTCCGGACAAAATTTTCCAAATCACTCTGATCATGGGTACCCCTGTTTCTCAGTACCCAACTTAAGACCTCGATGGTCTGGTTTTAAGAAGTGCTGAGTACCTACACCTCCATTAAATTGGAGATGCATATTTTGTTTTGTTTTTTTAAATCAGGCCCCATGCATCATAAGATCATAGAATCATAGAAGATTGGGGTTGGAAGAGACCTCAGGAGGTATCTAGTCCAACCCCCTGCTCAAAGCAGGACCAACCCCAACTAAATCATCCCAGCCAGGGCTTTGTCAAGCCAGGCCTTAAAAACCTCTAAGGAAGGAGATTCCACCACCTCCGTCGGTACCCATTCCAGTGCTTCACCACCCTCCTAGTGAAATAATGTTTCTTAATATCCAACCTAGACCTCCCCAACTCCAACTTGGGACCATTGCTTCTTGTTCTATCATCTGCCACCACTGAGAACAGCCTAGCTCCATCCTCTTTGAAACCCCTGTTCAGGTAGTTGAAGCTGCTATCAAATCCCCCCCCTCACTCTTCTCTTCTGCAGACTAAACAAGCCCCTTTCCCTCAGCCTCTCCTCATAAGTCAAGTACCCCAGCCCCCTGATAATTTTTGTTGCCCTCCGCTGGACTCTCTCCAATTTGTTCACATCCTTTCTGTAGTGGGGGGCCCAAAACTGGACACAATACTCCAGATGTGGCCTCACCCGTGCTGAATAGAGGGGCATAATCACTTCCCTCGATCTGCTGACAATGCTCCTACCAATACAGCCCAATATGCCATTAGCCTTCTTGGCAACAAGGGCACACTGTTGACTCATATCCAGCTTCTCGTCCACTGTAATCCCCAGGTCCTTTTCTGCAGAACTGCTGCTTAGCCAGTCAGCCCCCAGCCTGTAGCGGTGCATGGGATCCTTCCGTCCTAAATGCAGGACTGTGCACTTGTCCTTGTTGAACTTCATCAGATTTCTTTTGGTCCAATCCTCCAATTTCTCTCGGTCACTCTGGACCCTATCCCTACCCTCCAGTGAATCTACCTCTCCCCACATCTTAGTGTCATCCACGAACTTGCTGAGGGTGCAATCCATCCCATCATCCAGATCATTAATTAAGATGTTGAAAAAAATCGGCCCCAGGACTGACCCCTGGGGCACTCCGCTTGATACCGGCTGCCAACTAGACATCGAGCCGTTGATCACTACCTGTTGAGCCCAACAATCTAACCAACTTTCTATCTACCTTATTGTCCATTCAGTCAATCCATATTTTTTTAGCTTGCTGGCAAGAATACTGTGGGAAACCGTAACAAAAGTTTTGCTAAAGTCAAGATATATCACGTCCACTGCTTTCCCCATATCCACAGAGCCAGTTATCCCATCACAAGATGGGCACCTAAATATTAAGGCGCACAATATTAAAAGACACCCTTGAAAATTTTGGCCTTAACTTTTGGTGAGCTGAAATATGAATTGAAGAAGCAGGGGGCTGCTTTAGCTAGTATATCACCTAGTACGCCAAGTCCTCGCTCCCTGCCCCTCCCTTCCAGAGCCTCCTGAATGCCCCCAAACAGATGATTGCTGCAGGCGGGAGGTGCAGGGAGGGAGGGGGAAGTTGTTGATCCATGGGGCTGCTGATGGGCGGGAGGGGCTGGGGGGTGGAGGAGAGCTGATATGGGGGCTGCCGGCCCAACCTTGTTCCAAGCCCCCAGGGCCAAACAACGTTATAAGCAAACATTGCGCAAATTTAAATAAGTATGTTCTCTAATAGATCAGCGATGTAACAATGAAACAATGTTAACTGGGACAACTTTAAGCGAGGAGTTACTTTACAGGAGAAGCATGTTTTAGAATCCATGAGGTGGAAAAAAAAAAAAACTAGACCTGTAGATGGGTTTATTCCCTGTTTTATATAAATTTTTAATATCATCACCATGATCCAGAAAAAGAAATACCACATGGCTGATAAACCTCCGCAGGCTCTTTGAAAGAGAAATTGTTACATTGGTATATATATTATATAATGTGATATACTGACTTCAAAGCACTTTGGCTCAGGCCCATAGCAAGTAAGTAAAATATCTGTGTTTTCCTAGCCAGCTGAGTGTAGGCCATATGAATCTGCATATTTGAACAGATCCTGGAAAGAGCAAGAGGTGAATGAAAAACATATTATACAATAAGGAAATGTGAACTTAAAAATACAAACTAGTAGGGAGACTCAGGGGTAGGCACAGTAACATCGTACAGAAATTGTCAGATTAGATCAGACTATTGGCTCATCTAGTCCGGTCTCCAGTCTCTGACAATGGTCACTGCCAAATGCTTCAGAGGAAGACGCAAGAAAACACAAAACAGCCCATTATGGAGTAACATGCCCCTGGGGCAGCTGCTTTCTAACTCAAGATTCATGCCATGAAGCCAGAGGGTTTACACCCCTTATAGCATTCTCATCTTCTTTACTATCCTTGTGAATGTTATAATTATTCTCATAAATGTCTTAACTTTTAAAATTTCATTGAGCTCTTGGCCTCAATAATACCTTGTCGCAATCTTGTAGATTTCTTGGCCAGCTTCAGCTCAAAGGTAACTCCTCCTCCCACCCTGGGCCTGTAGTGATGCTGGCAAGTGCTGTGGAACAGCTGACTGTTCACCCCTCATATTCACAAGATGTTACAGATCAGATTCCCTGATCAGGGAGAACTTGGGAATTCAGTGTGCCGAGGGTAAGACTACTTACAATCACTCAGCTGCACACAGAACAGAGACTCATATCCGCTGGGGTCAGTGACGATTTCAGTGTGATAAGGGGTGTTATTTCTGAAAATAAGAGACTTCTCCACGCACACTTGGTTCACAATTCTGCACAAAAAACAGAAGAGAGAGAGAGCTAACGCTAAGGATACACTTACATTCCATGTCCCTCCGCCCCCCAACCAACTGGATACCGAATTCTTCTTAATTTCCTAACACAAACTGTATTGCATTATTAAACATTAAAAATAATGTTTTGCATTATTAAACAATTAGACAGTTAGTGTCTCACCCTAGAAGGAGCTGTGGGTGAGAAGTGAACTGTGTATTTGCGAGGCACTTTAGGATTCTTTACAATGCAATATAATCGCAGGAGTACGAGCCTTCTACCACATCTCCCCCTTTCTAGAACAGCCCAGCCCATCCCAACCTCCTCCCCCTTCTCTCCAATCTGTCTCCCTATCCCCTGCCTCTCAGTTGCCATCCCTAATAATTTCATTATAAAGTCATCATGTCCAACCTTGCAAAACTGTCATGACAATGTATGAGCCCTGCCCAAACATCTCCAGTTCCTCCCTCAGAATCATTTAACTGACCTCAGGCATTTGAACATGATCACACAAACACCAAGTGATATTAAAATAACTGTGTCTGGATTTTAGTTTCTGTTGGGAGTGTTCAGACAGTGAGAAAGCAAAGAAAAAGCTGGACATGCACAAGTCCATGGGGCCAGATGCAATGCATCCGAGGGTGCTGAGGGAGATGGCTGATGTGAGCCATTGGCCATTATCTTTGAAAACTTGTGGCGATTGGGGGAGGTCCCAGACGACTGGAAAAGGGAAAATATAGTGCCCATCTTTAAAAAAGGAAGAAGGAGAATCCGGGGAACTACAGACCGGTCAGCCTCACCTCAGTCCCCAGAAAAATCATGGAGCAGGTCCTCAAGGAATCCATTTTGAAGCATTTGGAGAAGAGGAAGGTGATCAGGAACAGTCAACATGGATTCACCAAGGGCGAGTCATGCCTGACCAACCTGATTGCTTTCTATGATGAGATAACTGAGTTTGTGGATATGGGGAAAGCGGTGGACGTGATATACCTTGACTTTAGCAAAGCTTTTGATATGGTCTCCCACAGTATTCTTGCCAGCAAGCTAAAAAAATATGGATTGGATGAATGGACTATAAGGTGGATAGAAAGCTGGCTAGATTGTTGGGCTCAACGGGTAGTGATCAACGGCTCAATGTTTAGTTGGCAGCCGGTATCAAGCGGAGTGCCCCAGGGGTCAGTTCTGGGGCCGATTTTTTTCAACATCTTAATTAATGATCTGGATGATGGGATGAATTGCACCCTCAGCAAGTTTGTGGATGACACTAAGATGGGGGGAGTGGTAGATACACAGGAGGGTAGGGATACGGTCTAGAGTGACCGAGAGAAATTGGAGGATTGGGCCAAAAGAAATCTGATGAGGTTCAACAAGGACAAGTGCACAGTCCTGCATTTAGAACGGAAGAATCCCATGCACTGCTACAGGCTGGGGACTGACTGGCTAAGTGGCAGTACTGCAGAAAAGGACCTGGGGATTACAGTGGACGAGAAGCTGGATATGAGTCAGCAGTGTGCCCTTGTTGCCAAGAAGGCTAACGGCATATTGGGCTACATTAGTAGAAGCACTGCCAGCAGATCGAGGGAAGTGATTATTCTCCTCTATTCGGCACTGGTGAGGCCACATTTTGAGTACTGCGACCAGTTTTGGGCCCCCCACTACAGAAAAGATGTGGATAAATTGGAGAGAGTCCACCAAGGACAATGAAAATGATTAGGAGGCTGGGGCACATGACTTATGAGGAGAGGCTGAGGGAACTGGTCTTATTTAGTCTGCAAAAGAGAAGAGTGAGGGGGGGATTTGACAGCAGACTTCAACTACCTGAAGAGGGGTTCCAAAGAGGATGGAGCTAGGCTGTTCTCAGTGGTGGCAGATGATAGAACAAGAAGCAGTGGTCTCAAGTTGGAGTGGGGGAGGTCTAGGTTGGATATTAGGAAACACTATTTCACTAGGAGGGTGGTGAAGCACTGGAATGGGTTACCGAGAAAGGTGGTGGAATCTCCATCCTTAGAGGTTTTTAAGGCCTGGCTTGACAAAGCCCTGGCTGGGATGATTTAGTTGGGGTTGGTCCTGCTTTGAGCAGGGGGTTGGACCAGATGACCTTCTGAGGTCTCTTCCAACCCTAATCGTCTATGATTCGATGTGTGACCCCAATCTCCTTGCACATGTGTATGTTAGTTACTTCAATCAGGCAACAGCATTATCATGGTCCCTTAGCCATTGCTTAGCCAAGATGTCTGCATGCCAGTCCCTCACAACTCAACTACTGCTGCCTGGGAGATAGAAAGAGAAGGGTTGTTATGAGCAGAGTTAAAAAACCCCATTGAGATTGGTAGGTGTGAACTCACCCTTCAATTAACCTAACTATAAGCATAAGCCCCACCCAAGACAAAAGATGTATGTGAACCTACCCAAGAGCTTTTGGCTGAGTATTGTTTTGGGTAGGGGTGTATGTATGGGAAGAGAGACCACGTAGAAACTGAGACCAGACTTGACTGAGGCTATGTCTACACTACTGACCTTACAGTAGCACAGCTGTACCACTGCAGTTGAGCCACTGTAAGGTCGTCTGTGTAGCTGCTCTATGCCGGTGGGAGAGAGCTCTTCCACCAGCGTAACTAAACCACCCCACAACGAGCGCTGGTAGTTATGTAAGCAGAAGATGCTCTCCCACTGACATAGTGCTGTCAATACCAGCACTTTTGTCAATGAAACTTATATTGGTCAGGGGTGTGGTTTTTTCACACCCCTGACCAACAAAAGTTTTGCCGACAAAAGTGCTAGTGTAAACAAAGCCTGAGACAGACACACAGCCTCAAGAAGCAGTTGAAAGCATGGTGGCTGACCCAGTAGGAAACCTAGACGAGAATGCTCTTAGTGCTGTAGGGAAAAAAAGCCATTTCCTACTCTTTGATTCCCTCTGCATTCAGAGACACAGAACTTTGTACTTTCTTTTTGTAACACCGACAGACCCCGGTCTTCAGCGGTGGGATCGAACCTGGGAGCTAAATGCATGAGCCTCTACTGCAGGGGTGGCCAACCTGTGGCTCCGGAGCCACATGCGGCTCTTCAGAAGTTAATATGCAGCTGTGACAGTTCCCCCCATAAGGCTTTATGGAAATATACTTATGAATATATATGACATAACTGGAATATGTTCTATGCTAAATATGCCATGTAACATATCTATGTAAAGTTTAGGATCTACTGAATCTATTAATCCTATTTGTATGCATGTATCATTTTTGTATTCGAAGTTATGAATATTGGCTGTGTACTGGCTTGATTTCTAAATTACCTTAGTAGAGGATTTGGTCAGTTCCTGGAGAAAGGAATTTGCAAAGTTAAATGCCCAATCAAGAAGCACTTAAGGAACAATTCATCTTGGAATGCTCCAATCCACATAAGAAGTCTTCCTAGAGACATTCAAGATACCATGTGGGCAATGGCTTCTGCCTGCAAAAACTGTGAGTCATGCATGGACATAAAAAGAAAAGGAGTACTTGTGGCACCTTAGAGACTAACCAATTTATTTGAGCATAAGCTTTCGTGAGCTTCATCGGATGCATACCGTGGAAAATACTGTGTCCAGTTTATATTACCAGGGAAAGACCAGAAGAGTCACTTAACAGGCAGCCACCCCATTCCCCCTCCTACAGATTTCAGAGTAACAGCCATGTTAGTCTGTATTCGCAAAAAGAAAAGGAGTACTTGTGGCACTGCTGCAGTTTCCACGGTATGCATCCGATGAAGTGAGCTGTAGCTCAAGAAAGCTCATGCTCAAATAAATTGGTTAGTCTCTAAGGTGCCACAAGTACTCCTTTTCTTTTTATTAATACTTGAGGGGGCAAACAGCTGTGCATATCTCTCTGTCAGTGTTATAGAGGGCGAACAATTTATGAGTTTACCCTGTATAAGCTTTATACAGGGTAAAAAGAAAAGGAGTACTTGTGGCACCTTAGAGACAATTTATTTGAGCATAAGCTTTCGTGAGCTACAGCTTACTTCATCGGATGCATAAAGTGGAAAATGCAGTGAGGATTTTTTATACACACAGACCATGAAAAAATGGGTGTTTATCACTTCAAAAGGTTTTCTCTCCCCGCACCCTACTCTCCTGCTGGTAATAGCTTATCTAAAGTGATCACTCTCCTTACAATGTGTATGATAATCAAGGTGGGCCATTTCCAGCACAAATCCAGGGTTTAACAAGAACGTCTGAGGAACAGTGGGGAGGGGGGAAGGAGAAAACAAGGGGAAATAGGTTTCCCAGTCTCTATTCAAGCTCTATTCAAGTCATTATGCAAGATAACCTATTTCCCCTTGTTTTTTTCCTACCCCCCCCCCCAGGTATTCCTCAGACATTCTTGTTAAACCCTGGATTTGTGCTGGAAATGGCCCACCTTGATTATCATACACATTGTAAGGAGAGTGATCACTTTAGATAAGATATTACCAGCAGGAGAGTGGCGGGGGGGTGGGGGAGAGAACCTTTCGAAGTGATAAACACCCATTTTTTCATGGTCTGTGTGTATAAAAAATCCTCACTGCATTTTCCACTTTATGCATCCGATGAAGTGAGCTGTAGCTCACGAAAGCTTATGCTCAAATAAATTGGTTAGTCTCTAAGGTGCCACAAGTATACCTTTTTCTTTTTGCGAATACAGACTAACGCAGCTGCTATTCTGAAACAGGGTAAAACAGATTTATTTAGGGTTTGGACCCCAATGGGAGTTGGGCATTGAGTGTTAAAGACAGGAACGCTTCTGTAAGCTGCTTTCAGTTAACGCTACAGCTTTGGGGCACGTGGTTCAGACCTGGGTCTGGGGTTTGCAGCAGGCTAGCGGGTCTGGCTCAAACCAGGCAGGGCACTGAAGTCCTAAGTTGACTAGGCACATCAGGTGGCAACTCCCAGGGGGTTTCTGTGATCCAACCCATCACAGCAGCTTCTTGTATAGGCACCGTCTCCAGGGCTGGAGCTACAGGTGCCAACTTCCCAGTGGGTCAGGGGGTGCTCACTGCTCAACCCCTGGCTCTGACACAGGCCATCCCACCCCTTCCCCAGAGCCTGCCATAGCTTTGTTCCTCCCCCTTTCCCCCCAGAGCTTCCTGCATGCCACTAAACAGCTGATCGGGAGGTGTGGGGAGGGATGGGGAAGGCACTGATCAGCAGGGCTGCCAGGGGGCAGAAGGTGCTGGAAGCGGGGACGGAGTTGATTGGGGGGCTGCTGACGTGCATCAAGGCTCGTTGAGGCATGTTACTGTGGCTCTTTGGCAATGTACATTGGTACATTCTGGCTTCTTCTCAGGTTGGCCACCCCTCCTCTACTGCATGAGCTAAAAGCCCCATGGCCCTTGGCTAAGGCTGTAGATCAGACTCATTAATCTCTCTCTAAGTGGTCTCAGTGCCACCAGATAGGACAGAACACCTCACCCAGGAGGTGTGTGGATTACATTTGTAATAAACAAAACTGCATCAAAGGTATACCTGCCTCTCACCAATTTCTACTCCCAGGCCCCAGACTTTGACTAGCCACTTGGGTTGAAAAGGGGGAAAAAATACATTACAACAGTCAGGCATCAGCACTGCCCATGGCCTTTCACCATTGCTTTGCAATGGTATCTGTATGCAGCACTGAGGAGCATCAGGAAGCCGGTCCCTCACACCTTACCTGGTACTGCCTGGAAGACAGAAGGAGAAGGTAGCCCTTGAGTCCCCCAGATCACAGCCAAGGTAACAGTCAGTATCACAGCAGCAGTTTATGTCACAGGATCCAGAATGCAGGTTGCAGATACAGGTGGGCAAACAAGCTAAGAAGAGAGAAAGAGACACCAGATCAGGGGGAGAGGGGATCCCAGACTCCGTCCTCTAGGTGATATGGGGAGAAAGCTGGTTCAGGGGGAGAGGGGACCTTGGGGTAGGTGAGGGAGACCAGCCAGAGGGAAATTCAGGAAAGACAGGCTGATATGGGAAAGGACCCTGGGTATTGTCCTGAAGGGGATGAGGAGGAGTGACAAGCCAGGTCAGATGGAGAGGGGAACCCAAGCAGTAGGGTGCAGGGAATGGGGCAAGGGGAGGCTGGGTCAGCAGAAAGGCAACCCCAGGCACTGTACTGCAGGGGACTAGTCAGGAGACAGCCCAGGTCAGGGTGAGAGGGGACCCCGAGCACTGTACTGCTGGGAATGGGTGGAGAGACAGGCTGGGTCCAGATCAGGGACAGGGGACCCTGGGCATTTCCTTGCAGGGCATGGGGCAGGGAGGAAACAGGCTGGGCCGGAGGAGAGCGCACCCTGGGCCTGGGCAACGTCCTGCTGGGGATGAGCGAGAAGGGACTGTGGGCCCCTCCTCACCTTCGGGAGCGGATGGGTCTCCCTGGACTCCCGGAGTCGCGCTGGGCTCCGGCTCCGCGGAGCTGCCTCCCTCTGGGCTGGGGGGTCCGGGGCCTGAACTTCCCCCCGGAGTCATGCCACCAGGTTCGGTGGCCGGGCCGGGGCCGTCCCCCGCGGTCGGGCTGGCGGGGCCGGAGCCGGGACCGATCCCCGCGGTCTGGCTGGCGGAGCCGGGGCCGTCCCCCGCGGTCGGGCTGGCGGAGCCGGGGCCGTCCCCCGCGGTCGGGCTGGCGGGGCCGGAGCCGGGGCCGATCCCCGCGGTCGGGCTGGCGGGGCCGGAGCCGGGGCCGATCCCCGCGGTCGGGCTGGCGGGGCCGGAGCCGGGGCCGATCCCCGCGGTCGGGCTGGCGGGGCCGGAGCCGGGGCCGATCCCCGCGGTCGGGCTGGCGGGGCCGGAGCCGGGGCCGATCCCCGCGGTCGGGCTGGCGGGGCCGGAGCCGGGGCCGATCCCCGCGGTCGGGCTGGCGGGGCCGGAGCCGGGGCCGATCCCCGCGGTCGGGCTGGCGGGGCCGGAGCCGGGGCCGATCCCCGCGGTCGGGCTAGGGGTCCCAGCCCCCCACCGCGGCTGCAGCAATAGCAGGAGCTGGAGCAACAGCCGCTTCGGGCCCATAACATCAACTTGTTGCCAGGGAACCGATACACTAACGTCTGACGTCATGTCGTAAGCGATCTGGTCTCGCGATAAACCTTAGCGCAGGCGCGTGTCGAAGGCCCCCCCCACCCAATGCGCAAGCGTACATCAATCTCCTCCTCGGCCCGCCCCTGGGTGGCAGGCAGACGCCTCGTCGGGGCTGGGCCTGAGCGCGAGCGTGGGGATGGAGGCGGCCCCTGGGCGGTAGGGGGGTTAGCCCCGCCCCCACAGAGCCCGCCCCTCGTGGCCCGGCCCGGCCCGGCCCGGGGTGTGCGCAGAGGGGGGAGCCGGCTGGGCCGTCTCCGTGCGGCTTCGCCCCCAGTAGAGCTGGTCCGGTCTCCGCAGGGCCTCGCCTGCCGCCGCCGCGGTGGCGCGGTCTCCCGCTCCGGGAAGCGGGTGCCTGTCGGGACGATCCCGGTGGGGCGATGCCCCAGCGCCCAGGTCACAGGGCAGTCCTCGAGTGAGCTCCAGTCCCCACGTCTGGCAGTGAGGGGCTTGGCGACTGCGGGAGCGTGGCGCTGTGTCCCTGCCCGCTGATGCCCGCTCTCTGTCGTCCATGAGCGTCTCTCCCTCTTTTCATTAATCCAGTTATAGGGTCAGCCTGCACAGCATCCCCTGGCCACGAGATCCCCAGGTTGGTTGACTCTCTTGTGTGAAGAAGAACTTCCTTGTGCTTGTGCTAAGCTTGTTGGCTATTCATTGTATTGGGTGATGCTCGTTTGTGTGTGAGGTGAAGGGGTAAATAACACTTCCTTATTTATTTTCTCTGCACCAGTCCTGATTTTGTAGACCTCAGTCATAAGAGCGGCCATATTAAGTCATACCAAAGGTCCATCTAGCCTAGTATCCTGTCTTCCAACCGTGGCCAATGGTAGGTGCTCGAGAGGGAATGAACAGAACAGGTACTCATCAAGCTGGCTGTATTTTAAAGAATCCTTATTGAGGTTACAGGGACAAACCATCCTGATGTGTAGAAAGAATAGTAAATATAGTAGGCGACCAGCTTGCTTAACAGTGGAATCCTTGCTGATCTTAAATACAAAAAAGAAGCTTACAAGAAGTGGAAGATTGGACAAATGACCAGGGATGAGTATATAAATATTGCTGGGGCATGTAGGAATGGAATCAGGAAGGCTAAATCACACCTGGAGTTGCAGCTAGCGAGGGATGTTAAGAGTAACAAGAAGGGTTTCTTCAGGTATGTTGGCAATAAGAAGAAAGCCAAGGAAAGTGTGGGCCCCTTACTAAATGAGGGAGGCAACCTAGTGACAGAGGATGTGGAAAAAGCTAACGTACTCAATGCTTTTTTTGCCTCTGTCTTCACGAACAAGGTCAGCTCCCAGACTACTGCACTGGGCAGCATAGCATGGGGAGGAGGTGGCCAGCCCTCTGTGAAGGAAGAAGTGGTTTGGGACTATTTAGAAAAACTGGACGTGCACAAGTCCATGGGGCCAGATGCGTTGCATCTGAGAGTGCTAAAGGAATTGGCGGATGTGATTGCAGAGCCATTGGCCATTATCTTTGAAAACTCATGGCGATTGGGGGATGTCCCGGAAGATTGGAAAAAGGCTAATGTAGTGCCCATCTTTAAAAAACGGAAGAAGGAGGATCCTGGGAACTACAGGCCGGTCAGCCTCACCTCAGTTCCCCGAAAAATCATGGAGCATGTCCTCAAGGAATCAATTCTGAAGCACTTAGACGAGAGGAAAGTGATCAGGAACAGTCAGCATGGATTCACCAAGGGAAAGTCATGTCTGACTAACCTAATTGCCTCTATGATGAGATAACTGGTTCCGTGGATGAAGGGAAAGCAGTGGACGTGTTATTCCTTGACTTTAGCAAAGCTTTTGACACAGTCTCCCACAGTATTCTTGTCAGCAAGTTAAAGAAGTATGGGATGGATGGATGCACTACAAGGTGGGTAGAAAGTTGGCTAGATTGTCAGGCTCAACGGGTAGTGATCAATGGCTCCATGTCTAGTTGGCAGTCGGTATCAAGTGGAGTGCCCCAAGGGTCGGTCCTGGGGCCGGTTTTGTTCAATATCTTCATTAATGATCTGGAGGATGGTGTGGATTGCACCCTCAGCAAGTTTGCGGATGACACTAAACTGGGAGGAGTGGTAGATACGCTGGGGGGTAGGGAGAGGATACAGAGGGACCTAGACAAATTGGAGGATTGGGCCAAAAGAAATCTGATGAGGTTCAACAAGGACAAGTGTAGAGTCTTGCACTTAGGACAGAAGAATCCAATGCACTGCCACGGACTAGGGAGCGAATGGCTAGGCAGCAGTTCTGCAGAGAAGGACCTAGGGGAGACAGTGGACGGGAAGCTGGATATGAGTCAACAGTGTGCCCTTGTTGCCAAGAAGGCCAATAGCATTTTGGGGTGTATAAGTAGGGGCATTGCCAGCAGATCGAGGGACGTGATCGTTCCCCTCTATTCGACATTGGTGAGGCCTCATCTGGAGTACTGTGTCCAGTTTTGGGCCCCACACTACAATAAGGATGTCGAGAAATTGGAGAGAGTCCAGCGGAGGGCAACAAAAATGATTAGGGGACTGGAACACATGAGTTATGAGGAGAGGCTGAGGGAACTGGGATTGTTTAGTCTACAGAAGAGAAGAATGAGGGGAGATTTGATGGCTGCTTTCAACTAGCTGAAAGGGGGTTCCAAAGAGGATGGCTCTAGACTGTTTTCAGTGGTAGCAGATGACAGAACAAGAAGTAATGGTCTCAAGTTGTAGTGGGGGAGATTTAGGTTGGATATTAGGAAAAACTTTTTCACTAGGAGGTGAAACACTGGAATGCGTTACCTAGGGAGGTGGTGGAATCTCCTTCCTTAGATGTTTTTAAGGTCAGGCTTGACAAAGCCCTGGCTGGGATGATTTAGTTGGGGATTGGTCCTGCTTTGAGCAGGAGATTGGACTGGATGACTTCCTGAGGTCCCTTCCAACCCTGATATTCTATGATTCTGTGAATGACTCCAAGATCTCTTTCTTGAGTGGTAACAGCTAATTTAGACCCCATCCTTTTATATGTATAGTTGGGATTATGTTTTCCAATGTGCATTACTTTGCAGTTGTCAACATTGAATTTCATATGCCATTTTGTTGCTCAGTCACCCAGTTGTGAGAGATCCTGTTGTAGCTCTTCGCAGTCTGCCTGGGACTTAACTGTCTTGAGTAGTTTTGTATCATCTGTATCATCATTTGTATCATCCCCCTTAGTCATTGCTTTTCTAAAGTGAGCAGTCCCAATCTTTTTAATCTCTCACATGGAAATTGTTCTATACCCCTAATCAATTGTGTTGCCTATCTTTGTACTTTTTCCAATTCTAAGATAGCTTTTTTGCAGGAAACCAGAAAAGCATGTAGTATTCAAGGTGTGGGCATACCATGCATGTACATAGTGGCATTATAATAGTTTCTGTCTTATCATCAAAAAGAAAAGTAGTACTTGTGGCACCTTAGAGACTAACCAATTTATTTGAGCATAAGCTTTCGTGAGCTACAGCTCACTTCATCGGATGCATACCTTGAAAACTGCAGAAGATATTATATACACAGAGACCATGAAACAATACCTCCTCCCACCCCACTCTCCTGCTGGTAATAGCTTATCTAAAGTGATCACTCTCCTTACAACGTGTATGATAATCACGTTGGGCCATTTCCAGCACAAATCCAGGTTCTCTCACCCTCCGCCCCCGCACACACAAACTCACTCTCCTGCTGGTAATAGCTTATCCAAAGTGACCACTCTCCCTACAATGTGCATGATAATTAAGGTGGGCCATTTCCAGCATAAATTCAAGTTTAACCAGAATGTCTGGGGGGGGGGGGTAGGAAAAAATAAAGAAAAAGAAAAGGAAAGAATAAATGGACACAAATCAGATGTCAAGAATTATAACATTTATAAACCAGTCGGAGAACACTTCAGTCTCTCTGGTCACGCGGTTACAGACATGAAGGTCGCTATCTTAAAACAAAAAAACTTCAAATCCAGACTCCAGCAAGAAACTGCTGAATTGGAATTCATTTGCAAATTGGATACTATTAATTTAGGCTTAAATAGAGACTGGGAGTGGCTAAGTCATTATGCAAGGTAGCCTATTTCCCCTATTTTTTCCTACCCCCCCCCCCCCGACATTCTGGTTAAACTTGGATTTATGCTGGAAATGGCCCACCTTGATTATCATGCACATTGTAGGGAGAGTGGTCACTTTGGATGAACTATTACCAGCAGGAGAGTGAGTTTGTGTGTGTATGGGGGTGGGGGGTGAGAAAACCTGGATTTGTGCTGGAAATGGCCCACCTTGATTATCATACACATTGTAAGGAGAGTGATCACTTTAGATAAGCTATTACCAGCAGGAGAGTGGGGTGGGAGAAGGTATTGTTTCATGGTCTCTGTGTATATAATGTCTTCTGCAGTTTCCACAGTATGCATCCGATGAAGTGAGCTGTAGCTCACGAAAGCTTATGCTCAAATAAATTGGTTAGTCTCTAAGGTGCCACAAGTACTCCTTTTTCTTTTTGCGAAGACAGACTAACACGGCTGTTACTCTAAAACCTGTCTTATCATCAATTCCTTTCCTAATGGTTCCTAACATTGTTAACTTTTGACTGCTGTTGCACACTGAGCGGATATTCTCAGAGAACTATTCTCAGTGACTCCAAGATCTGTTTCTTGAGTGGTAACAGCTAATTTAGATCCCATCTTTTTGTATGTAAACTTTGGATTATGTTTTCCAGTGTGCATTACTTTGCACTTGTCAACACTGAATTTCATCAACTTTTCGGTGCACAGTCATCCAGTTTTGTGAGATCCTTTTGTAACTCTTCATAGTCAGCTTTAGACTCAACTATCTTGAGTAATTTTGTATCATCTGCAAATTTTGCCACCTCTCTGTTTACCTCTTTTTTCCATATCATTTATGTATATGTTGAACAGCACTGGTCCCAGTATAGATCCTTGGGGGATGCCACTATTTACCTCTTTCTATTGTGAAAACTGACCATTCATTCCTAACCTTTGTTTTCT